CAATTCTTTTGTAGTCTTAATGCTGTTCTGCACTCCTGATTTTGTACTTTCCTCTTTCACCTTCATCCGGAGTCATTTCAAGTCACTGTTCTTTCTGATGGTAATATGGTATCATCTCCACATTTTAATTTTCTAAATTGTAACAATGTAGGCATATCCAGAGAAAACCAAAAGCACTTGAAAAACTAACCTTTATATTCCAGTGTGAACTTCTGTGGATTAATCCACTTTATCAGATACATTGGAAACTTATATTATTGAAGATTTCTCCATCAATTTTCACTCCCATCTGAATGAAAATTCAGCTTTCTGTATGACATGTTCTGCACACAGGCTGAACAGATAGGGAGATAAAATATACATTTGCCTGACTGCCAGTGGGAAACCATTCCATAATCTCTCCTAAGAATGACTCTTGCCAGAGTATAAATTAAGAATCAGGACAAGCAAACACTGTAGTACATTCATTTTTTTCTAGAATGACCCACAGCTTTTCACAATCCACACAGTGAAAACCTTTGCTGGTAGTCTATAAAGCACTGACTGATTTTCTTCTAAAATTCTTTGATTCACTCCAGTAGCCACTGTATATTGATTTCTACTGCCTCTTCTTTTCCTGAGTCCATCTTAAAAATTTCTTGGTCCATACACAGTAAAAGTTTTTATTGCAAAATCTTGAGCATAACTTTGCTTGCATGAATCCACAACTATTCGGATATTTTGTATTTCCCTTCTTTAAAACTGAAACATACTGTACACTGAATGTTTTAGTTGGTGTGCCACTGTTTTATTTTGCTTTCCATATTCATTGCCATATTCTTTTTAGGGTTTTGATCCAGTCTCTATAGCTTAATATAGCCCTACTCCTATTCTAGCTACATCTGGTGATTTATTTGTTCCAAGCGCTTGTGCAGAATATTTCACTTTGTTTTCTAAATTGCAAGTTCTTCATATAAAGAGTCTTCTTTGAAAAGATATATCACTTTTGTATTTCTTCTGCATGGTTCTTGAGTATAGTGCTTCCATCTTCTCTTTATTTACCCTGATCGTGTATCATATTCCCCTGTTGATCTGTCAGCACATTTAATCTTGGTCTAAAATTCCCCTTGATTTCTTGAAATATATGGCAGATCATTTTTTTCTTTTGTTGTTGTCCTCTTCTTTTTCTCTGCAATTATTATAATACTTCTTTGTCCCTGAAAGTCATTGAAAAATTGTGCTTGATATTTCTACCTCTTTTTCCTTAATAACATTAAGTGCTTCTTCAGTCATATATTAAAGCTTTTCTTTTCTTTTGACTATAAGAATCACGTTCTTGTATTCTTTCTGGATAACATCATTGCTTTCAGTTTGTAATTTTTCACTGTCATTTGAGTTCAGTAACGCAAATCTGTTTTTAAATGGTCTTTAAATTCCTCAGGAATGTTATTTACATACAGTATTTTTGCTCTACGTTTATTCTAGTGTTCTTTAGCTTTACTCTGAATTTTGATATTAACATTTCACCATTTGTACCATAGTCCATTCCTGGTCCCGTTTTTGCAGAAAGTAAAGCATTTCTCCATCTTCTACTTCCAATGATACAGTTTAATTGACTTCTATAATGGCCAGTGAAGTCTGTGTGTACAGTTATCTATTCGGTTGCCTGAAGCAACTATTTGCAACAAACAATTTGTTAGTTTTACAGAATTCTAGTTCTCCTATTACATTTCTCCAATGATGTTCTATTCTGGATTACTACCTATTTTTGCATTCCTGTTACCCATAATTATCAGTACATCCTATTTTGGTGTGTGAGTACTCCTGGACACTTGCATAAAAGCATTAAATTTCCTCTTCTTCAGCATCTGCAGTTGGAGCATAGACTTGAATGATGGTAATGTTGATGGAATTCCCTGAAATCTGATAAATATAAATTCACTCATTTGACACACAGCTCTGACTGGTTGTGCTACAACTTGCTCTACTATTACAAGCAGACAGTTTGTAGTTTCCAGAGAAAAGCACTCTGTAATTACCTAGCAGTAGAACTTAGAGACAGATAAATATTTGACTGGAGTCACAGACATCTAAACTGCCTTAAATTAATGACAATAATTATTTGTGAACAGAAGGAATTTACATCACTGATGACATTCACTTTGTAGCTCTATTTTGAAACACATAGATAGGGAGTGTTCACAAGACTGGATTACATCAAGAACTAGTCTATTATTAGCATTTTCACAAAATGCTACTAGATTTCCATTTTGCCAGATTCTAGCCTTTCCTACATCAAGTGAGTTGAATGGTTAAATTATCATGTAGCGAATTCGAATGGTCAGCTAATGAAATGAAGTTGCAGAAGGGGTAGCCATGTTAGTCTGTGCAAGTATAGATTAAAACAAAATAAAAAGTAAAAAGTTAAAAAAATATGGTGGCAACTTAAAGATTAACTTCTATATATTTATGTGAGCTTTCATGGACAAGTCCACTTCATCAGACCTAGAAGGAGAAATAACATGGCAAATATTTATTCTTAGCATCAAGATATATATATCAATACGGAGATCATGGTTGGTTGGTGAGAAAGTCAGTGGTTGATGATAGTGTCTTTGATATGCAAGTCTTTTGTAGAGGCTTTTGTGCTGTAAAGAATGTGAGAAAATCTGTCTTAAAGTGTAGTGCCCCAGAAGTCTTGGTTTATATTAAGAAGTCCTTTGATATGCGCATCTATCATTCATATATATTTTATCTTTTTTCTCTCTGAAGCACTACCAGATATACACACTACAAATATTGGACTGTACTGCATCTTCCAGATATGTTTTTGCCCTTTAGATCCACCTTAGAAATTTCTAAGATAAAATGAATTATACTCTACTCTTCTGGTCATCCATTGCCTCTGGGTAATTCACATAGTTTGCAACTGAATACAAAGAACAACTTACAGAAGAATTCACCAGTTACTGTAAGTAGCCCATTGAATTAGCATTCATGTTACTCTGTCACTGTTATTTTACCATTGTTAATTTACCATTGTTAATTTATGAAAGGTATTTTCATATTCTTTACAGCACAAAAGTTTCTACTAAAGAACCACATATCAAAGACAATATCATCACCCACTGACTTTCTCACTCCAACCAACCATGATCTCCGTATTGATATATATATCTTGATGCTAAGAATAAATATTTGCCATGTTATTTCTCCTTCTTTTAGCTCTGATGAAGTGGACCTGTCCACGAAAGCTCACATAAAAATATAATGAAACGAAAAAGACAGATTTATGTTCCTTTCATAACTTCATTTACAGAACCAGATGTATCTAGATATTTACAGTCCCGAATTAGTAATGCAGGGGAAAAACTACTTTTAAAATTTGTCCTCGCTGAGGTGGAAGTTTATGGTTTGGTCACACATTAAGTGAAGTAAATATTTTTTAAAAATATGAAATGTTACAGATATGTCTCAGGGAGCCTTCTGAGTGCAGAGCTTGAACTTCCCACTCATTTGGGTTCACCAGCTGAATGATCCAAATGTGTCTAAGTCACCAGCATAAAAATAAAAGGGCAAAAGCTTTCAAATGTGACTGGATTTAAACAAATTCAAATCTGCTTCAATTTGGCTATCAACAAGGAAATACTAATTTTCCCAGTAAAATATCTGCTGCCTCTCAAAGTTCTGCCATTATTCAGATAAGCCACGGAGTGTAGACTTAGGTAGGATCCAGTGTTAGTGGAGTAACCAGAAGAACCTTCTGTAGCAGATCTAAGCTGAGCTTTCCAGCTGTATCTGCTTGTGTAGAATTTCCAATTGCAGCTCTAATCACAGGAATTATAGAGCTGTGAGGGGACAATATTTGAGATTCCAAACTAGATACACAAAGCAGAAGTAACCACTACCTACTAATGAATTACTAAGCAACATTTAGGGAGTATTTGAAGATTATCTTGAGACAGGTAAAAGCTGGTCAACAGCAAATTTCTATTTAGTATAAGACCCAAAATCTCTATTTGAAGGTTCAATTCAAAGAAGTCATAGAAAACTTTGTACTGATTTTTTTAGGGCTGAAACCAGTCCTGTCCTGTAATGATATTGCCTGTTCTACTGTACAGATCATATGTACATAGTGACCCCACACTGCTCCCAGCCAGTGGTGTACTGTGGATGGAGGTGAACTGAAAGGAATCAAGAGTGCAGAGTATGTGAAGTCAGCTGGCAGTATTTTAAAAAACAAAAAAGCTGCTGGGTTTCCGTTTTTGACAGTTAAGAGTTTGGCTTCAGCTACTGTGCTAACAACTGGGTACAAGTGCCAAAGGGGTTGGCTAATGAAGCCGTTTTTTTCCCAAGTGTGACCTCAGGCGGAGTGCACAAAAACATCCCGTTCTCACAATGATTCTTTGATAGGGATGCCTTCCACAGAGAGGAGTGGTGATAAAGATCTCAAAGGTAGTTAAGCTTTCAGGCAGCAGGACACCGTTCACGGGAACATCGCCTGGGCCTGACGCGTCCAGGAACGGTGTCTTTAGAAACCTTCCCTCTCAGCCCTCGGCGCCGCCTCCCCCCTGAACCAGTCCTGGGCCCTGGGCTACCAAACTAGTCCCAGGCTCCGCTCCCTCTCAATGCCGCTGCCTTCTCCCTAGACTGAGCTCTTCCTTTCTCTCCGGCTTCCTCCCCCCGCCCCCGCCCCGCGTCTGCTTTCAGGGGTCAGGAGACACATGTCAACAGAAAAGCAGTTCCCCGGGGCATGTGCAGAGTACCTCTCACTACTATTCACAAGCTCACACCCACTTTCACCCCAACCGTCAAGGGTTAAAGAGGAAGGGCTTTCCCATTCAGAGGGCATGACTTTCAGGAGTACTAGTTTCCAGCCCCGGCACCTCTCACGGCAGGCCCGGAGCCGGCTCCTGCCCCGGCTTCTCCCATCTACCCAGCCAGCCAGCCAGCCAGCCACCTCCCCGCCCGCCCGGCACCGGGTGCCTCCGAGTTTGGCGGCTGCAGCTACCGGCCCGCACCTTCTTGGGCGCCTTGGTGAGGGTGGACATGAAGGAATACTTCTCAGCGTCCTCCATCTCCTTCGCCTGCTTCAGCTCGTCCCCGGCGGCTGCGTCCGGCACAGAAGACATCCTGAAGCGGAGGAGGGGGGAGGGCAAAGGGGGCAGGGCGCCGAGGATGAGGAGGAAGAAGAAGAAGAAGCTGCTGCCGGTGGTGCTGCTACTGCTGCTGCGTCCTCCTTTCCCCTCACCGGCTCCACGACCTCCCTCAGCAACCACCAAGACTGCAGACGCCGCGCTCCGGCAAGGGGCGGAGCCACATCAAGACCGAAACGTCATCACGCACGGTCGGAATCACCCCCCCCTCCAAAGCCGCCGCTCGCACGCACAGAGCGGGCACCAGACGCCGCACGCACAGGCCTGGCTCTAACGTCACACCGCGCCAGATTCCGTGCGAAAGGGACAGGAGCGCCCCTGGCGAACGTTCTTCCGACGCAATTAACCGGTTCAACGCCGTTCAAGCCGCCCGGTCGTTTTTATTGTTCGCCAGTGCACCCGTGCCAGCGAAGAGTTGGCAATTGCTACATTTCTCTAGGAACTGGCGGGCCCCAGAAAGGGAGTTTCATGAAGGCGCGAGGTTGCAGTTGTGTTCCTTTTTTTTTTTAAAGGGGATGGGTGGGACTTGCAGCGCTTTAAAAGCTAATAAATTAAATATGCCATAAACTCTTTGGCGTATTCTATAAGACATTTGTTAATCTTTAAACTACCGCGAAACTCAAACAAAAACAAACGTGTTTGCTGCTATAGAGGCTATTAAACTTCTTAGACCCAAAGTACAGAATTTATTCACAGATCTAGAGCGTGAAGAAATGGTTCTTATTTATACCTCTGGGTTTGGAAAGACAAATTTCCCGGTCATGTAGTACAGTGGTTCTTAACCTTTGTTACTCAGATGCTTTTGAACTGCAACTCCCAGAAACCCCAGTCAGCACAGCTGGTGGTGAAGGCTTCTGGGAGTTGCAGTCCAAAACTCCTGAGAAAGCCAAGGTTAAGAACCAGTGATGTAGTAGAATGTAGCTTTTAGGGCAGCCTTGAAAAGCTCTGCTTCTTGCTGTACTCCAGGAAAGAAGCACAACTGCACTCCCAGCCTCTTGTGGTATTAAGCCAGACGAATGAGGGCTGATGGTTGTGCATCCGGCACTACTGAAAGGCTGTTGTTTCGCTGCAGTGGAAGGACCCAGCATGTTCGCTGCTCACAAAATACTGGCTGACTATTGCAGACCCTGGAAAAGCAGGTGAGAGGTAGAATGGAGTGGCACTAGAGGGTTTTTTTTTAGTGCAGGCCTTGCTTGTTATTAATTTATAAATTTCCTGAAACATAATAAATGATGTGCACAAGAAAAGAGAATGGGTAGGAAAGAGGAGAACAAGCAGACCCAGGTATTGTACTTTTTTTTTACATCACATTCTTGTTCTTACAATTATCACCTTAACTGAAGAGAAGTTTGGGAAGAAGAAGATTTAAATGGGAGCCTGGTTTCCCATCTGAATGAGCCTGCTGCCCTGCTTTTCTCACTGCTGTACCCATTCTGCTGCTGTAGCTGGCTGGAACGGCTTGAAACAGAATGCTACAAATCTCTCCATAGAAGGATCTGAAACTATTCATTCAAGGAAAGGGCCCATTTCCCATTAATAGGAGCTAAAAGATAATCGTTTTTGAGCAAAATGTCTCTGTTGATCTGCAGGAGCAAGCAGGCTTAAGTGTACTGTTACACGTAAGAAAAGGAAAAGAGACAAGTAAAGCATAGGAATACAACAGACATTCTTTGTTGTTGTTGTTTAGTCCATAGTTCATGTCCAACTCTTCATGACCCCATGGAGCAGAGCACACCAGGCCCTCCTGTCTTCCAGGAGTCGGGTCAAATTCATGTTGGTCGCTTTGATGACAATGTCCAACCATCTCGTCCTCTGTCGTCCCCTTCTTCTCTTGCCTTCACACTTTCCCAACATCACGGTCTTTTCCAGGGAGTCTTCTATTCTCATGAGATAGCCAAAGTACTGGAGCCTCAGCTTCAGGATCTGCCCTTCCAGTGAGCACTCAGGGTTGATTTCCTTCATAAAAGATAGTTTTGTTCTCTTTGCAGTCCAGGGGCCTCTCAAGACTCTCCTCCAGCACCACAATTTGGAAGCATCAGTTCTTAAGCAGTCAGCCTTCTTTATGATCCAGCTCTCACTTCCATACATCACTATTGGAAAAACCATAGCTTTGACTATGTGGACCTTTGTTGGCAAGGTGATGTCGCTGCTTTTTAAGATGCTGTCAAGGTTTGTCATTGCTTTCCTCCCAAGGAGCAGAGGTCTTTTAATTTTGTGGCTACTGTCACCCTCTGCAGTGATCATGGAGCCAAAGAAAGTAAAATCTGTCACTGCCTCTATATCTTCTCCTTCTATTTCCCAGGAGGTGATGGGACCAGTAGCCATGATCTTAGTTTTTTTGATGTTGGGCTTCAGACCATTGTTGACGCTCTGTCACCCTCATTAAGAGGTTCTTTAATTGCTCCTCACTTTCTGCCATCAGAGTGGGATTATCTGCATATCTGAGGTTGTTGACATTTCTTCCAGCAATCTTAATTCCGGTTTGGGATTCATCCAGTCCAGCCTTTCACATGATGTATTCTGCATATAAGTTAAATAAGCAGGAGATAATATACAGCCTTGTTGTATTCCTTTCCCAATTTTGAACCAATCAGTTGTTCCATATCAAGTTCTGTTGCTTCCTGTCCCACATATAGATTACTCAGGAGGTAGATAAGGTGGTCAGGCACTCCCATTTCTTGCCATAGTTTGCTTTGGTCCACGCAGTCAAAGGTTTTTGCATAGTAAATAAAGTAAAAGTAGGTGTTTTTCTGGAACTCTGGCTTTCTCCATAATCCAGCGCATGTTAGCAATTTGGTCTCTAGTTCCTCTGCCCCTTCGAAATCCACCTTATACTTCTGGGAGTTCTTGGTCCACATACTGCTGAAGCCTACCTTGTAGGATTTGGAGCATAACCTTGATAGCGTGTGAATTGAGTGCAATTGTACGGTAGTTGGAGCATTCTTTGGCACTGCCTTTCTTTGGAATTGGGATGTAGACTGAGCTTTTCCAATCCTCTGGTCACTGCTGAGTTTTCCAGACTTGCTGGCATATTGAGTGTAGCATCTTAACTTTGTCGTCTTTTAAGATTTTATATAGTTCAACTGGAATACCATCACCTCCACTGGCCTTGTTGTTAGCCATGGTTTCTAAGGCCCATTTGACTTCACTTTCCAGGATATTTGGCTCAAGGTGAGCAACCACACTATCTGAGTTGTCCAGGACATCCAGATCTTTCTGGTATAATTCCTCTGTTTATTCTTGCCATCTCTTCTTGATGTCTTCTGCTTCTGTAACGTCCCTACCATTTTTGTCCTTTATCATGTCCATTTGCACAACATGTTCCTTTAATATCTCCAATTTTCTTGAACCCATCTCTGGTTTTTCCCCTTCTATTCTTTATATCTTTGCACTGTTCATTTAAGAAGGCCCTCTTATCTCTTCTTGCTATTATTTGGAAGCCTACATTCCATTTTCTGTAACTTTCCCTATTTCCCTTGCATTTTATTTCCTTCTCTTCTCTGCTATTTGTAAGGTCTCGTTGGACAGCCAATTTGCTTTCTAGCATTTCCTTTTCTTTGGGATGGTTTTTGTTGCTGCTTCCTGTATGAGCTTGCATCCATAGTTCTTCAGGCACTCTGTCCACCAAATCTAGGTCCTTAAATCTGTTCTTCACTTCCACTGTATATTCATAAGGGATTTGGTTTAGATTATACCTGACTAGCCCAGTGGTTTTTCCTACTTTCTTCAGTTTAAGCTTGAATTTTGCTATAAGAAGCTGATGATCAGAGCCACAATCAGTTCCAGGTCTTGTTTTTGCTGACTGTATAGAGCTTCTCCATCTTTGGCTGCAGAGAATATAATCAATCGGAACACACATTCTAGAAGACAGCAACTGTCACAGTGGAGGAAGCTGTATCCTCTGTTTAGCATCAACACTAGTATTATAGTGAGTCATGTGTAGTATATAGATGTGAGAGTCTATGTGTTGTGTCCCCCTGTCTTTCTAAGGATAGAAAGTGCAACTCAATGACAGTCCTTCCTTCTTTCCTTTTGACACTCCGTAAACCTAGAGGCAGCAACAATGATGTCTCATTTCTTTGCAGTGGATAGAAATGTGATAGTACTGTGGCTGTCTCCCCTACGCTTTTTGTTGTTAATCCGAGGGTAGCTTAGTGTCTGTGAAAAAATTAACTTGCGTTACATGCATTTTGAAAAACCTGATGTGTTCATAGACCACTGATCACATTAGGGAATATCCAGTGCGAGTGAGAACCCAGGACCCTCAACCAGCCATGTTGTCTAGGGCAAACACAACAGAAATGGTTATACTATTTAACAGATTTCTGTACAGTATATATAATCACAGTGCATACTGAGTGCTTGGAAAATGTGACACATTTGCAATAGAAATATGATCTCAAGATTAAATAGAATTTGTGTATCAAATGAGTATTTAGTATATCAAATATCTGGTTGTGCAGGAAGGGCCTGCATTAGAGGACCAGAGCGGACAAGAATGTGAGCACCAGACAGAAAGGAGAAGGTGGAGAAAGGGAGACTTCCCTCTTTATTCAATGTATGTTCTTGTAAGTCATCCTGCTGTGGCATCCCTTGTTCAGTCTACCTTGAGCTAGAAATCCCAAGTCAGTGGGAGACCAAAGACCATGGGTGGGGAAAAGGACTAAGATTAACTCAAGCATAAATAAGAAGGGTTTAGAACTATTTGATACTGTTCCTGTTTCAGACTTAACACCCGATTTAATAAACCCTTATGTCTTGAGGAATGGAACAAAATATGGAAGAAAGTAATCTTGGAGATCCTGTAGCAGTTGGGGGGGGGATGCACACAAGGAAATTTGGCCTGCCGATCTGGCCATGGATTTTGACATTTTTATGCTTTTTATGCACCACCCGAGCTCTGTAATGCCCAACCTGATGGTTATCTATACAGAATTAAAAGCTAATTTATCTTTATGATACTTTAGTGGTCTAATCAGATTATCACCCACTCTTATCAATGAATTTATTGCGAAGTTTGCCTGTCCAGGTAGTAAACTCTTGCGCCACTTGCATTCTTTCCTGTAAAGTGAGTGCAGAAGACCTGCATAGTTGCATAGAAAACATGCTGATTAAGAAGGAGAAGATGTTTCCACCAGCATTTCAGCTGCCCAATTTTGAGCATATTTACTCAGAAGAAAGTCACTGTATTTCAAGGAGACTTGCCCTCAAGGAAGTTGGGAAAGCAGTGTGCTTCCAGGTACTAAAATGTCTTGGGCCAACCCTGAAACCACAAAGTGTGGAGAAGGATGTGCCAAAGTAGATGGGCTTGAGAGGAGAGAGATGGGAGTGGAGGTAAAAAGCAAACTGCAGTGGCTACAAATCAAAAGTTATGTAAACCACAAATATACTAATTGTGGAGTATTTCAGTCTCTCTACATTCCACCTCTGACCGTAAGGTGGCAGT